CAACTGTAAGTTTCCTCACTCCTCAGAGTATTACCCCCAGGGTCTGAATTCACTACGTGTGGCAGTTCATAAACGGAGCAGCAACACCAGACTTTGGCAACGCAAATATTTAGCGACGGGTAAGGGACACACTTCCTTCACCAAGACAGACCAAGCCAAAGGCTGCAGGCGAACGGAAGGAGCTGCGACCAGGGGGCCAGCGTGGTGCCCACAGCCATAGGTCAGCACTCCAGCACTACTCTAGCTTAGCGTATTAACATTTTTTGATGCCACATTTTTACATTCATGCTTAAAACCGGGAGGACAAAAATAACTGTAGATCAGGAAGAAGAATGGACTATGGTGAGCTCTAAGGATGAGGTGAGAAGTATAACGCCCTTACTCTGTATATGAGTTAACTGGGACACGCCGAGAGGATTAAGGGAACAGATTCAAGAAGTCAGGTAACTTGAACTGTCTTGGTAAATATCACAGCCTGAGACAGCTGCCGGAGACAAGGAAGGCAGAACTACACAGAGAGAAAAGGAGACCAAAATTATTCTCAGTGTAAGATCCCACAAATCGCATCTCTGAAGGACGGGCATTACCGTCACCTTTTTCAGTGCACAGCACTGTGCGGTTCAGAAATTACCGCACACGCTGCACAATAAAGTCGGCAGGAAGAGCACTTTACTGGAGAGATACTGGAAAACTAAGATACTTTCAAAAGGACACAAAAAGAGACCTTGAGAAACCAGTGCCTGGACTGAAATTCAAGAGGGTTAGAATACTTGCAACTAACATTTAATTTTTAGTATTAGTATCACCCTGGATAAAGTATCATAGGATCTTCTCTCCCTCTCCAGCCCCGATGCGGGATATCTAGCAGGCTTGCAAACAAGCTGTATTTGTGCTCAAAAGCAAATGCTTAACTTCCAATTCAAATATGTATAATCAAATTTTGCAACAGCAGAATCTCGATTCAAGTTCTAGTGGGATGGGATGAGGCTATATCCTACCAGAGGCGTTAAGTGAAAGCAAATTCATTTCCCAGGCCGGTGTCCTGGAAGAATTTATAGGCCTGAACATGTCAAAGCGAAACACTTTGAGCAACAGGAGTGAGAAAAGGATGAAAATGGTAGGATACGTGGCTCCAGCGAGGGATACATTCAGGAGTTCACAGTGCAGCCAGAAGAGCTCGAACTAGTAAAGTGCTGTGCCAAGACGCTGTGCCTCGCTGGTGTCACAGCAGCCTGCACGCAGGACGGCACTACCCACCGTACGGGTGACTCGGCTGTGCCGCACCGCCCCGCCAGCTCTTCTCCAGCAGGTCACAAGCGGCTAGCAGGGGCTCACTGTGCATCCAGCTCACCACGCTCCAGTTGGAAAAATTACCTAAGAGGATCCATCCAGAGCTACAGCAGAGCTGCAGGAACGCACTTCAACCAGAAAGTGAGTACTGGATAGACATGGGAGAGGGTCTTCCAGCATGTGGGATGGAAAAGTTCCTTTCCATACAGGCATGGCTCTGTAAGAGTGTGAGTAGCCCCCTTGCAGTGTTCTTTCTTTGCTGCAGTTACCATTACTTCCTGGGTATTACACAAAACTTGTGAACCTTAACACTGCTATCGCTTTCAGTTCCTACCACAGCAGCAAGGAGTGGCCCTGACTCATCTGTGCAGGGCTGCGGTTGCTCAATGGAGCAACCGCAGCAAGAGCCGCGATGCTGCAGGAAGACAGACGGACGTCGCCAAGTGGACGTATACGAATGTGAATCTGCTGGTGGGCATGTGAAACCTAAGAGGAATAGTTATGAAGAAAAAAAAATGGAGCAAGAGTCAAATGATGATGGAGAGGGGACAGAAGGAGATTTTTAGTACGAGTTCATTATCAAGTTTTTTGCAAAGAGAGTTAACCTGATAAAGAGCAAAGCTGTTAGTAGCCATTTAGAATCACTTATCATGTTCCTCTTAATTTGGTAACTGAGAGCTCCTATACCATCTACCAGGAAAGGAAACACGTCTAAACTTCTCTTCCTTTCCTCCAAACAAAGTTTTGATGGCAAAATCTTTTTGGGATAATAGTTTCACATGCATTCACAGATTTAAAAAAACAAAACAAAACAAAACAAAAACCCAACACAGAATAATAATCAGTTTCTTCTATTAGCAAGTATATAAATACAAACCAAGCAATGGAATTTTTACTACAGTCATTTCCCTTTCGTTCCTAAGCAGACCCCTCGAGCAACACTGGGCTGCGAAGGCTGGCCATGCGCTCGCTCCATCCGCGCTAGAGAGTTTCCGAGACTGTATCCTTACGGAACGGAGCTCCCTGTAACGGACCGCCAGCTCTGACAATTCACAGTCACTGAAGCTCACTGGCAAGGTTAGGAGAAACCTTCCTCCAGACCAAACTGTTCTGGGTATCACGGCTGTATTTTTTTTCTTTTTTTTAAATTATTATTATTCTAAGAGTGCTAGTTTCAGCAGGTGGAGAGAGTAATAGAAGCAACTGAGCTTCATCAAGGTGCTTTGAAACAGCGCCAGGTTTGGGATTTTACACACCTTTGCACGAATCATCTGTCTGCTGCTGAAGTCACTTTCAGCTTTGTAACAGCTTTTAGACAAGCTATACTTCAGCTGCTCTGGGAAACACACTCTGGTTGACTGTTGGTAATTTACCGTTCTTTCCAGCTCCCTCAGCCGCTCCTCATCAGACTTGTTCTCCAGACCCCTCACCAGCCTCGTTGCCCTTCTCTGGACACGTTCCAACATCTCAACATCCTTCTAGCACACTCTGGTTGACTGTTGGTAATTTACCGTTCTTCGCAACTTCTTTCACTCCTGTTCAACGGACAAAAATCTGATGCCACAAAATGAGAGGTTTCTTTGAAAGGGAGACAGGGAGCTCCTCAGATCATCATTTCCAGGAATTCAAGACATATTGCAATTTTTTTTGTAATTAGGTTTATGTTTTATGCTACATATTAAAAAGCAATACAACTTCACTTCAGAGAAATCCCTGAACTTCCAGTCTACGTATCTCAGGTAACTGAGGAACCTATCTGAACATCAGCCTGCTTGCTGTCGGTCTGCTTACATCTTCTGCCTGAGAAATCACCTGTTGACTACCACAACAGCTTTTCCACCTCTTGAGGTGTTAGGACTGTTTATAGCCTATAAAAGGACCTGCATTATACCCGTTTGTATAGTATACACTATATATAGCCTTAAGGTATAGTCTATCACCTATATAATCTTTACAGCCTGTAAGTTAGATTTCTGGCATGGTAATCGCAGCTATTTGGTTACTGCTCCTACGGATGTACCATCTGCCCTGTTAACATGCCAAATCATCAAGTAAACATCATTTTAGGAGCTGGGTAGAAAAACCTGTTATTTTTTCAGCAGTGAATCTGGTAAATTCTCCATTTCTGGGAAGCACTGAAACACTTTATGAGCTTGCTATTCATAAAGTTTGCAATTTTGAATCAATCAAAGCTGAAAATACTTAAATAAATGAAAGTCTGCAATCCTGCCAACCCAACCAATTAAGCTTGACTTGTAAAGAGATCTGTTTTTACCCCCCAATCTGTACCCTCCCAAGTGATCTGAAAGTAGCTTAAAGCGCAATAAACACAAATAGACCTTTAACTACCACCTGTATAAAAACAGAACTGTTATTCTACAAAACAGGACAGGGTAGACTAATAAATATGCTGTAACTTGGTTTAGAAAATGATCTATACTTATAAATATAGTATTTTTCTTCGTTTTTTTCCTGTATTTGTCTTTGTTTGTGATAAGCAGCTTGCTATTTCACTAGAACTTGCTTTCACCTGTAGAAGAAATCTTTTGCATTGCACCCTTCCGCTGCAGCACACCAACAGAGCAACTTCTACCCTCTGCGCTGAGATACCTGCAAACTTCTGCAACACACTTCTATCCGTCAGTCACATATTCTGGACTCACGTGATTCCAAGTCCCCACATCACATTTTTTCCACTTTGCCCTCTTGCAGAGAATTTAAGAGTATGAGAAAGCTGTCCTCTGTTGAAAACCTAAGTGTACGGAGGACCCGACAAAGCTGTAGCGGTAACTTAGAGGCTCTCTCAGCACAGCAGAGTTTACAGTTCCCTTCTAGGCAGTGCAAACAGCCACAAGTTCTTCCCTATGTCCTACCTGCGACATGCAGTCACCCAGAGAAAGAGAAGAAAAGAGATAGTTTCCTTAAGTTGAGGAGGGGAGAATATTTTTTGCTAATGGTAAGAAGTTGTTTCATAAAATATAGTTTATCTCTGTTCCCATACATTATAAACTGTCCCTGCAGCGTCAGAATCCCTCTCCATACTTCTTCCCATAATGCTCCAATCCCTGCTTGGATTATTGGCAACACAAGCAATGCTGCACAATTCCCTGATAATTTTTTATTTTTTTTTAAATTAAATGCCCTACTTCCTACCCCCAAACCCAAAACACACACACACAACCCACCCCCCCCAGCCACTGTCTCAGTAATTCAGTCAGGACGGATTCACAGCATTGCTTACTCTGTGCAAGTGATAAAAGTTTTTCTTAATAGGCCACATAAAACCTTTTGTATCTCTGCCTTAGAAAACACACGGTCCCTGATGCAGATTAAGAATCATAATGAAACAGGATTCTGTGGAAAAATGGCACAGACCTAGAAAACCACCCACCTCCATTTTAATTTCAATATCCAGTGTATGCAGACAATAGGTTCTTTCCCTCCTTTTTTAAAAAAATAAAGCTACTTTCCTCTATTCAGTATCCTGATCACATGAAAAATAAAGATGAGGGCTGGGGGAAAAGGAGTGGGGAAGAAGAGGTGGGAGAGTTTTCCATTAAGATGGCACCATATCAGGAACAAGAGCCTCACTGAAACACAGCTTTTAGTTTTAAACCAGTTCTTTGGAGAAAAATGCACAATCCCAATAAAACAATGTAACTTTGCTTCTGTGCACGGCTCAAGAAAGCCGGTTTGAATTTGGTGGTAGGTCAGCCATATTCTGATGAACTATTTTCATTGGTTCTCACAGTTTAGAGGTGACGTTTAGCAGGCACACTTTTTCTCCTCTGGTTTTGCTGAATCTAGCTTTCCTGAGCTTCCTCCGTTGGCTGTGTCGGAGACCTGTGTCTTGTCCACGCACTGCTCCATACGCTTCATTATCAAGTCCAGAAGCGTGTCGACAGCCTTCTCCACGTTCTGTCCGGTAGCAGCACTTGTTTCGAAGTACGGTATGCTACGGTGGAAAGGAAAAGGTTTGCTGGAGAGACTTTTAAAGACAACCGAGACTCAACTCTCTGTAACGCTCTCAGGGCAGCTATCAATGGTGGGTTTAGTGGCAACGAAATGAATGGGACAGACTTCTGGTTTGTCGGGACTCTACTTCCTTGCTGGGCAGAACCCAAACTCCTGCTCCTAGCACACGGTGGCATGATGGCATAAGCACAAAAATGCCACATTAATTTACAAAATGTATCCTGGCATTTTGACTTCAGATTGCGATAACATCAGCACAAACCTTGGCTGAAAAAGTCTTTCGGTAACCAGAAAGTCTACTTTAAAGAGAAACCTAAGTCTGCATTACAGAAAATTTCAGGGATCACAGAACATACCAGAAACCTTTTTTTTAGGCAGATAGTTACAACTATTGCTATTTAGCAGTCCCTGTAAGTACTGTCTCCCTCCATTCCTGTCTACTTATAAGCGCAACTTAACTTAGCTGTTTCCATTCTGAAATCCCCTTTGAATCCAGAATATTGCCTTCCAAATCGTCTTTTTCAGAAGAGAAGATTATCAATCGCTCCAGCACTTCCATCATATCAAATCGGGCATGAGCTACCATCTCCTCAGTGTCACTGTCCTCCTTACCTGGCTCCAGACAACTCTTTAATATTCTTTTATTATTTTTAAGTCTAATTTGTTTACTACTCCTCACAGTCTCTCAGGCCATCTTCTGCTGCTGGCCCAATTCTCTCTGAACATCCCTCAAAGTACAGTAAGGGCAACTAAGGAAAAAAAAATACACATTCTTTTTGTCCACAGCACTATTTACTAACTATATTAACTATCAGCCAATTTATCCAGTTACAGGACACTCTGCAGGTGTTTTTAGTGCAAAGTAATGTAGAAGGCTCACTAGAACAAGAAAAAGGCCATTAACAGTTTTATTATCCATCAGGGAAAAACAAATAAATTCAGTGCCACTGCACACCTAGAACCTGACCAAAATCCACAGGTGTCTCCACTTCCAAACTAACTAGAAAAGCAAATTATAAAAATTGTTAGTTCTTTAGTTCATGACACTGAGTGTTCATCTGCCTTTGGTATACTCTGTCCTGAACTCTCAGGACAAGCCAACATCCCAAGAACGTAGTTTTCTAGTAAGAATGTTTCATTCCAGCCTTATTTCTTATGTTGTAATATTCTGGCCAAACTACTAGAACAGTGTGTTTCATTCTATCTATTTCCTATTCAAACAGGTCAATCTGAAAGCATGACAAGTTGGATATCACTATAGGTGTATGTGATACTGCAATGCCTACAAATCTTAGAGTTTGTAAGTATACTTGCAAGTATCTCTAGCCAGTCATCAGCTGCACTTCCAACAGTTACAGACTAAATTTAGCTTCCGTCATAATTTGCTTACCCGTATTTGTCTGCCAGATCTTTTGCTTGCCTTTCGTTCACCTCCCTTTGGTCTGATAAGTCAGCTTTATTACCAATTAAGACTATATCTGGATTCTCACAATACGCATTGGCTTGCAGCTGACCTAGAAGCAAAAATAAACAGGAGTTAAGAGAATGTTCGAAGCGCCTTAGAGACCAAGATCGTTGACAAAATAATTAAAAATACCTTTCTGGCTCCCCACCTCAAAATATCCTAGACTAACCAGCCAACCACTTTATGCCAAACACACTTCCTTGTCGTACATTTACTTGCTAAGGGGAATTTTTCAAAATAGGAAGTAGAAATGGTACTAGAAAATTATTTCCAGTATTTATTTTACCAACATACAACAAGACTTAACTGCAATGAGGTGCACTAAACACAGTGCTTTAGTGGAGGAGAACCTCCACCAGCCAGAACTTCTATTCTACAAGACTCATAAGGACATTGTGGAAGTACAAACAACATCCCACGTCATCTGCAAATGCAGCTCTTCAGAAGTATAGGACAAAATCCTCAAGCGCCTTTTCCTCTTGGATATATTCAGTGATTTGAATGCAGTTTTATCCATTTGAAGATCCAGGCACAAGTACTGTCCGCAGCCTCGCCCCTCGTAAGTAATTGTACAAAGCCATTTACTTACACTTGCCTCAATCCTGAGGGGACTGACTTGAAAAGGCGCAGTATACACAGAAGAAATTAGAGACTCAGCTTGGTAAGCAGTGGAAGACTGTGATGATGGGGGTTGTTTAGTGGGAGGAAGGAATCTCTGAAGAAGATGGAGCTGTTTTCACAAAGCTATCTGGATTCTCACGTTATCCCCACTTCAGCCTGTTTGCTGGAAAACTGCCAGCTGGAAATGTACTGGCCTCTGTCCTTCCAGCACTCTAAATATCCTCAATTAAAAACAAACTTTAAGAATTTAACCTTTGTTTCACTTTTGGTCTAGCCGTTGTCTGAAGGAAAACCAACGACAGCAAACACTATGGGCTTTCAAACCAAATCCTCAAAGCCCAATCTTAATTTTAATTTAAACCTCAAAGCAGATAGGAAGGAATCACACAAATAGAAAGCACACCATAAAGATAACAGCAATATCCAAAGTACAGTTTCCAAGCTCCTGTATATCATCTAAAATATGGGGTATGGCCAAGGAAGTGTCAAATGCCATGAATTTTCAAGAGGCAACAGATTTATTCAAGTTGTACCAAATCCAAACAAGATTATGAAGAATATGCCCAAAAGAGTCTATCGTGCAAAAAAGAGAAGAGCATGTATCTTTCCAATTTGATGAAGCTTTCACCCCAAATTACAGGCTGCAAGTACCCCACTTATGGCTGCACTAGACATAACTACTTTCTTTGAGCATTTTCCAGCTCACAAACGACGACATGCATGAAGCCTAGAAGCCTAAAATACACAAGAAAGCTTCAAGTCAACCGATAAAGGCGAGCTCTATGGTTCTACTTACTCATCCAATTTCTGACATTCAAGAAGCTCTGTTGACTGGTGAGATCAAACATTAGTAAAAAGCCCATAGCATCTCTGAAAAACGCTGTGGTGAGACTTCGAAATCTGAAGGTGGAAGAAAAAAAGACAACATAGCTCTATTAATACAAAGTGATCTCTAAGGTAAGCACTTTTCTAGCAAGCCTGAACTGAGTAAAGGCAAAAGAGATAGAGTAAAGCTTTTCTGAATTGCTTGTGCAAAAATTCTATTTAAATATATCTTGAAGTCTGAGCAGTCTGCAAGATTTAGTGGACATACATTCCCTTGGAAGTAAAAACAAAATAAAATAATCCTTGACTTTCATTTTAGCTATGATGCATCACACCAGTCAACATTTATTAATCAGCGTGTTAGTAGTTTACCAGAGGAAGCTTATATGTGAGAATATAAACATTGTCAGTGACTAATCTATTAGTTCAAATTCTGCCTGATTTAACCAAGAGCGAGACAGGTTGCCTAAAAGAAAAAAAAGATACTGAAGCATTTAGCGTATCACAGATCAGTGATAGAAATGGTTTCACCAGCCGAGATTACACACACTTAGTCGATGGATGTGCACTACTCAATACAGTCAATATTAAAGCAAACAAAGGGAAGAGTAGGTGGCTGTTTACATGCTTTTGATTGTTCGATGTGACTCTCTGCTGTGAAGCTCAGCTAAAAGGAAAAGGTAACCTTTCCTTGCAGAGCTCTAGACAACACATGCACTCCGTAAGCAGACCTGCGTAAGTGTGCATTCACAAGGGACATGGTTCACGGGCTTCCTGCAAAGCTACGGAGCTGGATGAAACTACAAACCATGAAATGCAGCTCTGTTTGTCACCAAAAGGCCACAAGCCTGCTCAAATCAGAAACGTGAAGAAATAGTGCTGGAAAACTGTGCAATGGCACTCTGGTGTTTTCTATATCACAGGGATCTAGCACATCACAAAACAGCACTATATAATCTCACACAAACCAGCAGTAGCAGAAACAGTAACTGGTATTTTACGACAGACATCCATGAAAATTAAAACAAAAGCTCTCCACAGAAACATGTCATGATACCTGACACTACTTTTAGGGTTTCTTTTC